GGCGATTTTATGAGGTTTTATAAGATTTCATAAAGAATCATTTCATACAGAAACTTTTGCGGAATGCAAAAGTAAATTTATATGTACTTATGTAAGACGAAAAATATAATATACCTATGTATTACATAACGTGCGTAATATCAGAAAATGATATATTATTTGTATCAAAACGCTCACGAATATATTCAAGTAAACAAGTTCAAGTTACACAAAAACGATCGAATGAAATAAATATACTTTGTAACTAAATCAGAGCATGATTTCTAGTAATATTTTAATTACAATCTTGACATCCTTAGATGAGAGAGGCTATTTGAAATTTCATCCCTTTTCCATACTAATAAATGTGACCAAATTTCAACTAACAAGCCAACTTATTTTTGAGAGGACCAATTGCCTGTAAACGACGTATACTCGAGTGGATATCGAATTGTCGAGCGCGCCCTTAGATTTAATAGGAATGAAGGAATGAAGGAGGGACGATGAAATCGGTCGTCCCCGGGATCGTTTTGATAAGGAAGAGCATCATCCCCCTATCCCAAGGGTCGGGAGGACGTACGGAGGAAAAGGGTGAGAGAGACAGAGAAGAGGAGAGAAAATGGCGGCCCAGAGGGAAATCTGACACCAAATCGAAGGAGACGCCATCGCAAAGCGCGGCGCCGCCCCTTTATCATTGGGTCTTGGCTTCGGCACGGTGTCATCCTCGAGCCCATAAGCTCGAACGTAACCAAATCAAAATGATTATCATAATTTTCCTTGCACCTCGTGCATATAAAATCTCTTCTCTTAATATTACAGCGATATTAATTATGACACTTTACCAGTCGCATTGTAACAGGTGGATTTATTTAAAAAAGTAACTAACAAATCTCAAGTTAATTATTCGTTTGCGAAAAGTAAACAGACCGTGTTAGCCTTCGTTGCCATATGTATACTTAATAAATCGATTTACTGCATAAGGAAATATTTATAATATATTGTAATTAAAAAGTTTTCAAAGTCTTTGCTTATAAAACTTGAGTTTTGTACTTCCAAAATACGCCTTGCTATGCCCACATAGCACGACGTCCAAATGGTAATTAGTCGAAGAAGGCGGAGCAGATTCAAAGGATTGGCGAGGCGTGTCGAGAAACAACGTCATCTCTCATCTACTGATGCATCGGTTCTCTTGATCTACACAACACCGCTAGACCTTTTGATATTTTCAACTACCAGATTTCCGTCGCACGTGACATTCTAAATCGGTACTACTGCGCGCGGTTCTTCTTGGTTTAATTAACTTTTAAGTATTCTATACGGCAAAAATTGTGGAATAACGGCATAATATCAATATATTTATCGAGAGGCGAGAGAAAAAAAGAGCGATTTTTATTATTATTTATTTTTTAGTACGTGCATTTTTATACTTTTTATTGTATGTACTATATATTTTTGCTATAATAATTATGCAGATAAATCATTTAATAAGAATTTCACAGGTTTACCACTCTCGAAAGTTTTTGGAGTCGAATTTTCTCTGCAATCATGGGGGATAAAAGTGAAGAGTTTTATTCTTATTTTTAAGTAAAGCGCTCCAAACTTCGCTCCAACTTAAAATACAATCGCTTTCCCGTATAGGCTGTAGTTAAGTGGGTCAATTCTATATCTTACATTGTAGTGAAAATGCTAAAAGTGAGTGACTTTGTCCCTTTCTAAGGAGACGGTCAGTTCTTAGTATTTTTACTATAATATAAGAGACAGGATTGACGCCGAAACGCCAGGATGGCGCCTGCACGACGGGGCGGACAATAAGGTTTCTACGGGGCCTTTTTTATATCTGCAACTTCATAAAGCAAGTACGGCGCAGAGAAATGTTAGAACCTGAGCAGAAAGGCTATCTTATTCTTTTACAATAACACACGATAACTGTCTTCCATTTTAAGAGTACAAGACAGCCATATTCTGTTTAGGCCCTTACGCTACTTAGCAAACAAATGAGCGGAAAAATCCTATTTCAAATGAGTGACCACTGCTGGTTTTTTCGGCAACCACCGAGAACATCCTGCCACATACACTCCTTTAGGGACATAGCCCTTCAGATTGGAGGTTTCCTTCGACAAAATTAGCAGTCTACCAAAAGTAAAGTAAAACCAAATACTCAAGATACCAGACCTAACTGGATAAAACAGGCTTTAAGCCTAATACACAAGAAATTCATATGACTTTTTTTTAATGCACTTGATCTCTGCAATCATGGAGGACTTAATGCATTATTGATCGAATGTATTGATATGCTAGGTTATATACGCACATTTAGGAACATGTTTAAAAATATGTGATTATTGTCAAGTCTGAAAGAGCTGTCAGATTTCCTCAAAACATATTTTTTGGCTTTACTAATAAGTATTCTTGCAGAGGTCGGTATATTTTCATAGCGCATTTCAATTCTTATGGGTTTTATGTTTATTCCGGTTTTTGTTAAGATCTACTTCTTCTATAAAATAATATTAACCTTCAAAGTGCTTCTGCGAGTGATCGGCCCATAATCCCTCCGGCGAGAAAGGACTTGTCGAGGAAAGTAAGAAATTATAATATTGATGTTATGTATTTGTTACTTGTAGTGTTCATTGGAATAGACCTAGTCCGAAATGACTCGTCAATTGACGCCGAAACGATGTCGAATCGACGTCAATCGAGTCATTTCTGACTGGGCCTATTCCAGTGAACACAAGTAACATTAATACATAACATCAATATTATAATTTCTTACTTAACATAATAAATGTAACATAACATCATATCATCAACATATAATAAATGTATTCTTCTTCTGATGTCTTTCAATAAAGATCAAAACAAAAGGAGAAGAGAAACAAAGCTTCAAAGCATCTGTAGCGGCAATGTAACATAGCTACAGGCTGGTCACACACATAATTGCAAATGCATAGCATAAGTTCGTCTGTACAAGACTTGGCCCATAGTCATCGATATAGAATGAACTGAGCATTGTGAATGGCAAACGCGCAATTTTCCACTTTAATAGTCTTTAGTAGTCCTTTTATCCTAAATAAGATGTTACTAAAAGAGACAACCAAAAACTTTCCATACAGTAGATCCTTTTCAAAGTCGAAGAAGAATCCAAGTAAAAAGTGAATACGGCTCTTTCACTCTTTTGAAAGGTAATTTGAAAGGTCTCCATTTCGACTAGCAGTATTTTCATTATTTCTTGGAGTGTGAGCTTAAGAAACATATTGTACACACATGGAAGCACTTACCATACATAATGCTGTTCAATGACGTGTTCTTCAAAATATATTTGATAATAGTTAATTAATTCATAATAACAAGGGATGTAACATTTCATGAAAATTATAAAATGGAGGTAAACGATCGAAATACATGTGTACAAAACACGTAACGGTAAACGATATACGCGATGGTCGTGAATGAACGAAACCGATCCTTAGGCGTGTACGAGTTCGTATTCGGACCGATCTGCAGCTAAAGTTACGTTTGTCGTTGGATCATATTTGCAGAAATGTGTATCATAATACGACTCCAGAGATGAGCCGGCGACCTTCGCGAGGGGGTGGAAATCTTATCGCGAAATATAAACACGCTAAAAAAGCGATATCTGCCTTCTTCGTTACATCGTCCTACACATCGAAAGTCCCCTCGATATTATGCTGAAATCTTAAGTAAAGCAACAATTAGCATAGCATTATTAACAATTGTAATTTGAGACAGTGATAATAACTCGACGATTGTTTTATATTTTCAACTTTTACATTTTAGTATATTTTATATTAAGTTATACCTACATATTTTTTATGTTATTATTGCCACAAAAATTGTGAAATTATTATATAGTTGTATACTATAGAATTATTATTCATCTCATGTCGCGCACGCGTTACGAGTAATAAATTATTCCAAATATATGGCGTCCGATGATGAAATGATCCATCAAGAAATTTACGACGGACTTCCTTTCGTCAAATCTATCGTCGAAGGGTGAATGATTATTGTCGGCTGTTGTGAAATTAATCAAACACGAGGTGCGATAGCGTTGCGTGGAATCACAACACGGTGTACGGTAACGTTGACACGTTCCATTTCCGGTGTTTATTGGTCACACGCGTACTTGGTGATTCCTCGATAGCTCCGTAATAGTGGAAAACAGTATCTACCATACGAAAAAGGTGCACAAAAATTGCTGAATGTCGTCAATTGGTAGCTACGCAATAAGGATATAAATAAACTGAAATCTTTGATAGGCAAATTTCTTTTGCTATATACGCACACACGCACACATTTACAATTTTTATTTTAAACCTCAATTTTTAATTTGCAGTGAATTTTAGCAAGTAAGGTAACGGAAAAGTAATCTTTCCAAGCCAATTAATAGAATTATTTCTAGTTATTTTCTCGAAAATATAACTATAAATATCTATGGAAAGACACGCGCGGAGTTTTATTAAGGATATTCAACATGAGAGAGCAAACATAATTCATATGTATGAGTCGAGAACGGAGTACGAGGCCGAGGGGACAGCTCGATGCACAATGCCATAATTCGTCACTTCAGTTACATAACAAAAGAAATTACGCGAGTCCGACTCGAGGAAGGAATCGCCGAAATTCGATATATCCAGGTAATCGGTCTGTCGCGGAGGTCGCCAGGTGAGAATCCAGTACCGTGTACAGAGGAATAGGAAGCGGGGCCGGCGCGGGATCGCGGGATGGGGGTGAAGCTCGCAGTCGGTAGGGGGTAGAAGATCGCACCGCCCCTGAATTGCACCAATTGGACGGAGCGGCACGTCGCACGTTGACCAATCACCGGTCCGTGCCGTTCCTCGCTCATCGCACGATTCTGCTGCCGAAATAAAAAAGGAGGACAACCAGGGAGATCGAGGAGGGAGGAGGAAAGAAGATGAGGGAGAGATGAGGGAGAGAGGAGAGCGAGAAAAAGAAAGAGAGAGAGCGAGAGCGAGATAGAGCGATATCGGCATCGGCATCGTCAGCATTGCCACCGGGGTACCACTACTACAACCGTCCTCGGAGGCGGTCGCACGACCACAATTCAACGACGGAAGCCAGCGGAACAACGGCTGCCGCACCGCGAACGCGACGACCGTGATCGCCTTACTAACTTGGTGACTTGGTCATGCAGTGAGAGCGTCTACCGCGGTCAAAGGCATCCTCTCAAGGAGGATTGCTTACGCAATTGGTTTGTTCACGCGATCGCCTATACATAAACTCACTGTTATCCGGTACAGAAACGGGGGGGGTTGTTGTGAACACTCGATGCCAGAGGTAAAGAACCAGCAGTGCACAGGTACCGAAACGCGATGGTGCGGTGAGTCGAGAGTATTCTCATTTATACGGTGGGTTCGATGGTTTCGCCGCGGGTGGTAAATCGTCGGTAGTTACAAGAATTATTCACCTGGATTCAGACTCGAAGCAGTCTTTCGACACTTCTGACTCGATAGTGAACGAACGGACAATTGGTACCCCTACGGCAAGATGTTTACCTCATTGGACCTTCTCACAAGATTATTGTGGATGTGACAAGTATCTCGTTATGATTGCGTAATTCGTTACGAACCGTTATCGAAAACGGAGAGTTCAGGTTTAGTTTCAGACACCGACGGGACTCCAAAGTTATTTGCTTACAGTGCGGTAATGAAATCCGATTTCGAAGGACAAATAAATAATCACACGCGTAACAGAATATTTTTAAATTATTCGTGAAAAGAATATGTTTGCCGTTTATAAACATGTAACTATTAAAATAGATGTAAAAATAAAAGTTAACTTAAAAAAATAATAATCACTGTAATGGCAACTAATCATTACGCATTTAGGCTACTTTTTCGCGATGAAGTGCACGAATCATCGAATGTATCGTGAAAATATAATAATTATTTGATATTTACATATAATTATCATACGTTCAACGAATAAAATCTAGCAAATTTAAAAAAAATTGCAAACAGTTTTTAAACCCGTGGCTTAAGAAATGTTACAATTTTATTGGAGTAAGCCTCGATGAATGGAAATGGAGTCGGGCATCGACATGAATGAAACGCGCGTGATTAAACAACCGTCGCGACGACTTCAACGTGTGAATAACGGATGCTTACCTTCGTCATCAGTTATTCATCCGGTCGGTCTATAAGATATATCGCGATCGTATTGTAATTTGCCGAATGGTAAAAGCGGGAAAGTAAATTCCCGTAAGAACGTTAGTCGCGATCTTCAGACTAAGATAAGTTTTCACGTTCCTACTTGCTGGAAAATCCAGAGACAAAAATGTATGGACGATAGACATACGTAAGAGATGAAAAATATAATAAAATAAACAAATATTAGAGACTCCAAGGGAATTTTTCGAACTTGGTTGATGTAGACAAATGTAAGTTGCGCGGCAACTCACACGTTGTCAACGTTTCACTTAAGTTTAGACTACAATCGAGGTAGTTTATAAGTTAGTTTATAATTCGAGAGTTTATAAGCGGTTGTTGAAGCAACTTTGAAAAAAAAAACATCGCGGAAGAAGCCTGCGTCTTTGAAAATTTCTCACACTCGGGATCAGCGAATGAGTACGGAATTCTGTCTCCTATCCGACACCTGGGTTCGTGAGAGGCACGTAGCCACCAACCAAGGATGTCGGATAGTTCAGATCAGCTGTCATCACCGAACAGCGATTGCAATAGCCAAATGGGCGTCGTGCATCGCAATGCAACCGCGCAATACAGCAACGCGTCGTCGATGTCCGGCCTCGGACTGACTCATCATTCTTCAAATCTAACGCCGTCGTCGAATGGAAGTCCCCAGTATTCGCAGGAGCTTTCTTCCTGCAATTCTACCAGCGTAAACGCTAACATCGGGAGCATCGGCGGTCTCTCCCTTAGCAGCAGTACCAATAACTTCACGCCCGAGCAGATATCCTGTATGTGCGAGGCGTTGTCGCAAAGCCAGGACATTGAGAAACTGTCCAGGTAATTCAAAAACACCGTACTTCGGCGTTTTCGCTAGCAATAAATGTTCTTTATTTACTCACTTGAAAATTATGCACGCAATATTTTTTAAGTTCTATCCTTCTTTTAAAAGTTATTTTTGTTTCGGATGTATTAAAAAATTCTATTCATATGCTAGATTTCTTTGGTCTTTACCGCCCGGAGAACTGTTGCGTGGAAGTGAGAGCGTCCTAATGGCGCGTGCCGCCGTTGCCTTTCACCGCGGAGCTTATCACGAACTCTACTCGATCCTAGAGAGCCATCCTTTTTCGCCGCGTCGACATCCCGAACTCCAACAAATGTGGTTTAAATCGCATTATCGCGAAGCTGAGAAAATCCGGGGACGACCATTGGGGGCCGTGGATAAATATCGGCTACGTAAAAAGTATCCACTACCGAAAACAATTTGGGATGGCGAAGAGACCGTGTACTGCTTCAAGGAACGATCGAGGAACGCTTTGAAGGAATGCTACATGAGGAATCGATATCCTACGCCGGACGAGAAGAAAAATCTTGCAAAGAAAACTGGCTTGACGCTGACTCAGGTGTCCAATTGGTTTAAGAATCGCCGACAACGAGATCGCACACCGCAAACGAGAACGTGAGTTTTGTATTAAATTGCAAATATATTCAAATACGTAGTTATATCAAACTGTTTAATCGAAAAGGGTTTCCTTTCGCATCGAGAATTAGAATTAACCGAATTAACTTGATTGAATTAATCGAGTAATCTCATACAGCAATCATCTCTTTATTCTCGTACAGGGTGTTAAGGATAAGCTGTTCATTCGCTTGTACACAGGTAGACACAGTAGAACGGGTTGAACTGAAGAGAAAAGTTATGTACCATTTTGTAAAATTTGCAATAGTTATCGAGTAATTGAGCGAATTCCAGCGAGAAATGACAATGTCGAATCGACATTGACACCGTCAAAATGACGTCGATTCAACATCATTTCGACATCGATCGACGAATCCTTTCCTACTGGGATAAGCGCGAGGAAAGCGGTATGCGTGTACTCGGTAGGCGTGTAAAATGGCTTATTTGTTGGATCTCCTAGTAACGGTGAGCATCATCTGATAGCAAGAGGTGGTGCGACGCGTGGTATATAGCACCGTACAGAAAAATTGTCAGGCAGCGAGGAATTGTTTACGCGTCTTATCGTCCAAGACCCGCCGCTCGCTACTTGCAAGATGATGCTCGCCGTCGCTAGGAGATCCTAACAAATAAGCAATTTTACATGTCTACCGAGTCCGGTCTACCCCTTTCCTCGTGCTTATTCGCTCAGACGTTTTCATTAATTACTCGATAACTATTGTAAATTTTACAAAATGGTACAAAACTGTTCTTTTCAGCTCAACTTGTTCCACCTGTATAAAAGCGGATTGTCCGTAACAGCCTGTATACAGGCTAGCGTTTCTCAAGTGGGGTCGCAAAATAATATAATTTTATATAAAATTTCTTATACAAATTTTTCTTTACTTGAGCGAAATAGTCCCGCTTTACCCTATGGGGTTTTTGCAGGCAGGGGGAGGTCGCAAAGTATTAATTTTACTTTTTTTAAAGGTTTTACTTTTTTACTCTCAAGGGGCTAAAAGTTTGAGAAACGCTAATATATTCCCAGCGGCACCTTTCATAATATTTTTTTAATTCTCTAATCTATATTTTCCAATCACAGACAGTTAGGTGCTTTTTTTTTTTGGTGAGACATTTAGCGTCTATTTAGTTATGATTTGAAAAGAAGTGGAGTGTATTTTACTTCAGTTATTTTCTCGTAATTATCGCCATAATTTTTTCAGGTTTCTTTGTCTTTTACTTTTATCACATGCACTGAAAAAAATCGGATTGCATTAATTAGAAATCTACACTAAAAAAATATTTGTGTGAAATTACATGATTATGCTGGGTTTTTTTTCGACCTAGCATAATCATGCAATATTACTACCCACATGGAAAATTACAGACTTTTTTTCTGTAATTTTGTATGAAAATTTAAGTGATTTTTACGTAAAAATATTACTTTCATCTATTTTACTATTTTTGTGTAAAAATCACTAGAATTTTCCTGCAAAATTACAGAAAAAAGTCTGCAATTTTCCATGTGGGTAGTAATATTGCATGATTATACTGGGTCGGAAAAAAACCCAGCGTCATGTATAATAATTTTACACAAATATTTTTTTCAGTGTAGTAGATTCAACCAGTCGTCTCTTAGAAAATGGACGAATCAGAATTTCTTTAGGATTTACTAGATGCGTAGTAAAGTCTATGAAATTTCTGGATATGAAATATCGTGACATATATATATATATAATTTCTCCCTCTTATTCCTTTGACTAATATTCTACTAACATAGCGATATTGGCCAAACGAACGATATGAGATGAGGGATAATTACGAAACAGATTACTTGAAAAGGGTCCAAATCCAGGACCGAAACGTAGTTTTTATATTAAATAAAGGCAGTGTAGGTCGTTTATGAAAAATACTCATCATTGTTTTCAATTGCTGGCGATATCATATCTACCCCAAAGTTTTATATATACATATATATATATCGTGATAATTATAAATTCTCTTTGATTTAACCAAAATACATTTGATCATACGCGTTTTTTTTTTAATACAACCAAAGCAATTTTCTCAGTGTGCGTATAATATTTTCCAATGTTCTTTTACTAATAACATACAATTATATACACGCATCGGCATAAATGCCGTCCCTATTTGTGTGAGACGCTCACACGGATAGGAACGGCAGTTATGCCAGCGCGCGTACCACACATTATGTACCACATTATGACTATATAATGGATGACATAGGGTCGACGGACATCTCTTTGTCGAAAAAGAACATGTGTGGGGAAGCATGTGACACATAAATCATTTGTCTTATATACCTGCGATCTTCTATATCTACGATTTATTAACTTGAATTTGACTTTTTGAATTTTTATATGCTAATAGCAACTCAGGAATAACATCCTCTTGCCCTAGTAGCACAGTGCATTGGCTAAATATTAGCCTAATACAACCAAATATATGTTTAACCAATGTTTGGTCAATGTACTGTGCTACTAGTGTAGACACGATATAACTTAAGAAACCCAACTTTGGAAAAATTGAAGAAATTTGATATAAAAATTTAAAAAGTGAACTTACTGTCAAACTAATTGGCAAATTTTATTGAATTCGTTACAACCTTCCGATCTTACTTCAAGTCTTTTCAAGTAACAGTACTGCAAATCAATAAAATATAAGAAATTAAGGAGCCCATTCTGTAAACGTTAGAGAGAGAAAGAGAGAGAGAAAAGAAAAGAAATTAACGAACCTAATAAGAAAACGAGAAAAATTCTTGAACAAGCGAGTCATCGTCATCTGTGAGATAGAGTCAAACGATAAAAATAAAAACATATCCGAACATTATGGAGGTTCGATTTGAACTGATTCGTAGGTACCTAACGTCATATGTATATATCAAATATCTAATATATAATATGTGATAAAAATCACAGTGAAAGGGATTTATTGTTAAATTTTGTATTCGAGAAAGCATTAAGTGACATACATTTTACTCCTTTCGTAAGTAGATCAAATTACTCAATTTAATCTACAGATTTTTACGATCCACGTCCACAGAAATATTTATTATGATAGAAATAATAATCGAGCGATGATATAATCATGAGACATTCTTTAGAGTGCCGGTATTGTTCAGTTTTCTTTTCCACCCGGGTGATTATCTAATCCGCGTGCTTATCTAATTAATGTCTGCGTCGTGTTGACGTCCTTTGTGACGATTACGAATGGGGGATAAGGTCTGGCAGCTCTACGTAACACTGGGGTTGTTATGTTACGCGCGAGGTTCATTGGTAAACGATACACTCGGGAGAAAAGCAGCGAGAGGAACGTAGAAAAAAAATGTAGACGGAGTCACGCTTAGATAATACCGGACGCGTGTTCAGCCGTTTATTGACATAACAGGGGCTGCAAATTACGATAAGATCGAGCAGCATAGGCTTAATCTCTCGATCAAGACGCACGGAATCAAGAGCAAAATTCTCGGAGCGACGCATGAAATTCAGCGGACCAGGAAGCGTCTTTTTATTTAATATCGTATATAATATATCGTATATAATACGCAGTTAAATTCATAATGTCAAAATTGATTCAATGATGAATATCGTCACTCCTCTTACTCAATTTTTAACTACCATGTATCAAAATTTATTATTTTAACACAAAATTTTGTTAAAGCTACGACATCTGCTACTAACATTTTTGTAATCTCTTTAAACTTCATTGTTTAATTAAATAAATTAACTAACTAAATTAACAACATATTGAGTAGGAGCAGTGTCGCGACTCATCACTGAATCAAATTTAACTCTATCATAATAAATGTTTTTGTAAATACGAATCGTGAAAATCTGTAGATTATAAATTGAATTATTTGATATACAAATAAATACGCGTTTATACACGGAAGAACTTTATGAGAGTGTTTTGAAATTTTACCATACATTTTACCAGTAAATTGTATGGTAAAATTTCAGAAAACTCTCATAAAGTTCGTCAAAATGCCATGTTGTCCCACGATTACATAATCTTCAGGGTAAATTTTAAAAGAAAATTCTCCGTGTACATTATAACTTATGTATATGTGTACGTATCATTTCTGAATTTTAGTTGTTATTTTTCGTAATTATTTTCACGGAGAATGTAGGAGTTACTCCGCTGAATTTGTATAGAAACATTGCGATAAGATTCATTTTCAAAAATTTTTCAAAAACTAAACATTGTTTTCCCAAGGTACATATCCCAAGAGATATACAAATCGATCTAAAGTAATTAGTAATCCATTTGAATGTTAGACACTTTCCAAGCGTTTCGAGATAAGAGGGACGAAATTGACGAAAGTGGGCCTCCTTAGAATGGGTCTGTCAGAATAGAAGGCCCGCCGAGAAACCGAGTCGTGACCACGGCTCCGCTGTAGCCATAACAACGCTGCGTTCGCTCTCTGGTCCGCTCCTTTCTTCGAGCGCACGTAGAAACTGCGTATAAACGCACACCGCCAGAAATTCCTGCGAGCACGAATGTCCCTCCAGTCCCTCCAGTCCCTCTCGCGCGCGAGGGACATGGCATGCGTACGTATATGCGTATAGGCGTCGCCATCGCTCCCGCGCCGACAGATATTCGGCCGGCCGAAACTACCCGCCGCGCCATTCTGATCAATTTTGCTAAAGTTCGCATGCAGTTTACACTCATTCGTCCCAATTGTTTTTCACTGCAAGCATCTTGCGCGATATTTGTCAGCTAAAACAAATTTTTTAGATGGGAAAAGAACGTTGCGGACTTTCTTATAAACGAAATTCTTACATACCCAAGGGGCACAGAGTATTCGAAAAGAATTTTTTCGAATGCCAGAATTATGAAGTAAATTCTTTCTTCTATTTCTGCTTCTATTTTCATTAAAGATATCTTATTTCTGTTAAAGACATTATCAAAAGTTCAAAGAGGATTCGCTTCTACAGGGCCGGCGTTAGGCGCGTGCAACCGGTGCGTCGCACGTGGCCCCACCTTTCATCGGCCTCGCGGTTTGATCGGTCCCGCTTTCCCGCACTAATCAAGTAGTCGAATATACGAGTATATTTTGTTTGCACCCGGCCACGCTTAGCTTAGAATCGGCTCTGCGCTTCTATGTCATCAATTCTAAGCACTTTTCCGAGAAAAAGAATTCTTTGTATTCAAAACAATTTTAATTTACTAACAGGAATAATCTTCAAAGTCGCCAGCAATAATTAACGACTTCAAAGTTTGACCGTATCTGACAATTGTAATTAATGTTTAAAGCTCGCAACGTTTCGACCATGGGTTGTGGTCCTTTTCAAGGTATATCCAATCATATCTGTGTATATCTAACCCACTGTTATGCTGTATATTAGCTAAGGACCACATTCTTATCTGCTTGTATCAAAGTTAGATATGCTCAGATATGATTGGATATATACATTTTTTCCCGGTGAGTCAACAAGTGTACTTGCACAGAATCTTCTTTGAACTGCCAAAGATAAATTTTTAAAAATTTATTTTAAACAGATTACGCTGATTCATACACGGAGAGATCGATATGGTTACCACATGTCTAATTAGGGTTGGCACAACCCCAGTAAATAGTAATATTTGGGACAGCCATATCTGTGGTTGTCATACCCATATTGGTATGATAAGTAGCGGAGACAACTATATGCATTTTGTGCAGCAAACTTAGTGAATGTTGCGACACGAAACAATGTAGATGCCCCTACTATTTATACGGCAACATTTTTATTTTAGTTATTTTTGCCTTAGCCGGTCTTTCCGTGTAAAAAATTTTTTCAAGTGAATCCTTTCTGAGTTTGTGACGATCACCTGTGCTATTTGAGTATCCGAGTTTCAAAAATAATGGACAAAGGCATAACATAATTTTTAGCTAAGTCTGTGATAATGAATATGTAAAATAAGCAATGTTAATTAGTCAACTTAACAAGTCAGTCTGCACTTATGAATTATCTACGATACTTTTCGGCAAAAGAGTTTTGTGTTTGCTAAGAAAAGACTTGAAAAACTAGTTGAACGTAAAAGAGATCTTCAACATAACTTGTCTCACTTCTCACCACGCTGAACCACACGCTGTATGATTTTTAGATTCGAGCGAGATCGTTCAATGAGATTCTCGCAGCATCCAGCTCTCCTCTCCCTTGCTTTCGAGGAAACAATTCTTTTCTTGGTGGCAGAAGACTTGAACTTCCTCCCCTTTTCTCGTCCTTAACGTTCTCCTGCCTCTTGCCGAAGGCCCTAGGAAAAGGAAACGCGACGCCCCATTACCGTTTTATGACGCAGCTTCGGTTACATCTCCCGTTTCACCATTGAGCTGTTCGCACTAGCAATAGTTTACTACATAAAGGCCACGGCCGGCCCTCCGCAGCTACCCCGATTTATCTTCGCGTGTGCCGCTCAAGAATGAGGACGCGCCTTCTTTCTCGTTAGATCGAGGAACACGGCAGCTACCATAAGAGGTGTGGAAACACACTGATATCGCGGGGTTAGCGCTAATCGCAGTTATATTTTCTGCCATTGATTCAATTTTCTCTCATGCTCATCCACAACAACAAGAGTCGCCCGCCTAGAGTGTATGAGGGAGGTCCAGGTTCAAACCTGACCGAGGTAATATTTTACGCAATAAAATTTCTTCCAGCTAGAGAGACGAATGATATTACTCGTTGCAACGAGAAGAGTTCAATATGTTCTCTAAAAGTCAATCAGTGGATTATCACTGAAAACAGTGAATAGTCACTGATTTGCAGTTATAAGTCATACCACTGAAAATCGTAGCAACACTATCGGCGACTATTCTCTGTTTTCAGTGATAATTCACTGATTGATTTTTAGAGAGTGGAGTTCCACGCGTCGAATCACCCTGATAGAAAATTGTTGATATTTCGACTGAGCTTTTGTGTCGACACTTTCATAAAAATCCCACATAATTCACTTAGAAATTGGATTTCTAATTTCTAGAAAAGATTAGTCGTAAAATGTTCAATTCTTCCTAGTTATGCGCTTGCTATTACATCGCACCGTAGGCGACATTAACGGCCTCCCCGAAATATTATCGGCGGGCTCTAAACAAGTCTTAAACCTCCCTCTCTTCCATCCATTCCATGGTCCAGACTCTTATTCGTCAGGACGGAGAAAGGGACCGAGAAGCAAGGCGTTGGGGTACACGTAGGGCGTATTCCTTTAAATCCGGACCTTGAGGCGCGACCATAAAAATGCGCGGCCCGACGTTCGCGTTAGACGGAGGACGCGGGTGCGGGAGAGAGCGTTACATGCAGCAAAACCAAACCATGGTCATGGGCGGAGCGGTGGTCACAGATGGACCACCGTGCGTGTAGCGCGTACACATGCGCGATCGCGCGCGGCTTTTGCACTTTTCTCTTGCAGCGGCAACGTTCTGTAGTATACATGTGTACTATACTCAACGAAATATAGGTCTTACCATTTCGACTCCTTCATGCATTTCTTTGTTTCACATTTTTTCCTAATTTGCGTCTCCTTGGTCATTTGTCGTTCCCTTTGTCTATTTTTCTTGCCTTTCATCAAGAAGGGTCATTAATATCCATAAATGCGGTACCTTCTAAGAAAATTTTCAAGAAGTATTTAACTGTAACCGAGCACAGGTCAGAAATACCGCATTTTATTAATGTGTCTTTTGTTGTTTTCTTTTCAAGTCATTTACTAGAAAACTCGTAAATTATAGCCGTTCAACGCTCCTGTAATTGTAATGGGATTTGTCTATTGAATTCTTCAATTATTGTACTCATGAGTATTCATCGTCCTAAGAATATGTTGCATGCTTTTTAAGACAACTAAACAATACCATAAAGGCAAAGTGAAAAAAAGGCTATAACAGATCATTAAAAAACAGGCAGGTCAAAAGTGGTCTGGTGGGGTTCTCCAAATTGTACGGTTTTAATGTTAATATATTTGACCCGACTTTTTTCTATTTCTTAGAGTCAACGATTTTTTCCCTAATTTTTTAAGAGTCTTTTAGGGTAATAATGCACACATATGTGTTATGTTTGAGAAAAAATTTTTTATACAGACCTAAAAAGAAATTTATGGATATCCTTACGAGGGTCGTGTCACAATTCTTGTATACTTAATGCTTCTGTCAGAAGTTTGAGTTTTTTTTTGTTTCAAACATAATATCATTTGTATAAGTCAATTGGACCATTGGCTTTTGAAAACTCTGCTAAAAACCTCAAGAAGCCAAACGCTTGTTTCGCATTTGTGTATCCTCGGTCATTTGTCGTTCCCTTTGTCTACCTGTGTCTTGCCTCTCATCAAGAAGGGTCATTAATATCCATAAATACGTTTCCGACAGTACCTTCTAAGAAAATTTTAACTAGATGACAGTAATTACGTAGTGATTGTGTCCATTTTGATTATTTAGCCATATTGAAGCAGGTGGAGTTCTTGAAAAATCTTAAATTGATTTTTGAATAAATACTGAAACTACTACATTTATTATTTTATATTGATTTAAAATATTTATCCATTCACCTTTACAATTCAATAACGGAATTACGATGATGTAACATAAAAATATGATTCAAATTGTGCGTTACAGTACGCTCGTATGAGGTAGGAACGCGTTATTTTGTGATAACACAGGTTAATCTTATTTTAGTCAATGGTAAAAGTCGTTATCCCTTTCTTAATAAGAAAATTCTTTCTTACTTCATGTGTCAATTTAAAAAGTTGCAATCATTTGTGTGAAAAGCAAAAACATAATTGTGCAATTAAATTAGATCTGGCATTAATTTGGACATTTGTGAATTTATCAAGATATAAGATTCAGTCGGCCAAAAGATTGCATGCGTACGTAATCTCTGCAAAGCGAAATTCTTTTCAATGGATATATCGAATATCTATTAATATCATAAATCTACTTGCAGAGACATGCTGCCACTGAATTGTCAAGGCACGACCAACAGTACAATCAGCAGTTCAGTGAGCAATGGCGGCAGCATCCAATCTCTGCAGAGCATTGATTCCGATAGCCCTAATCTCGCTATGTCACCTTTATCAACTATGGGTATGTCACCGGTCACTATGAATCCGTGCAGTCCAATGGGCATGAGTCCCATGGGTCCTCATCACAGCTATGCCACTCCCGTTACCCCGGCATCTGTTCATACCGCACATCCCCATAACGGCGGACTGAGTCCAATGAACGATGTCAAAAGTCTGTGTTATGGACGCAGTGTGTACGACACAGGTAAATTATCGAGGGGTAAACCGCTGAGAGCATTGTGGTGTACAGATTTGAGGTATTACTGGCCATTACTAGGCATTATTTTATGGGCATTAGTTTGGGCATTATTTAGATAAAAAAGGTCAAAACAAGATAATTTAGATCAAAATGAGGTAATAAGATAAAGTAATGCCCACTGGGCATTATTAAGCATTGCTGTACATGATTTTGGTCAGCGGTTTACAGCTCGTAAATGATTAAGCATCCAAAGAATTTTAAATGGGAAAATCTTTTCGAATACTTATATAATTCATGCGTTTATATTTTTACAACTTAACAATTCACTTTGCATTTGTAGTATCAATTTAAGACACATTTACGACGCTTAATTTCTTAATTTCCAACTTTTTCGCTTACACGATCTGTAGAGTTGTATATAAAAAAATTGTATTACGATTTTACAAAATATTAGTGGTTAACGGTTAATACGTACGAATTATTTACATTATCCTGTCTTTGATTCCCTGTCTTCCCTTCGATTTTGATTATTCTAACTTTCACTATTCTGAATCCATAAGGTAAAGATGTGGAGCAGAGCTCGGTTTATTACTCCAGCCATTCCAGTATGCACCACCAGTATTATCAGCAGACTCATCATCAGATGATGTCTAGCTCCCATCACCATCACCACCATCAACAAAGTGTGCCAGCCGGCTACGAGATCATGCTACCACCACCTTCCATGTGACTGTCGGACTACGAGGATGACCGAAGTAATCAAGGTCTTCACGGCCAGAGCGACGACGTGGCGACACGTGTGCACGCCTTCGCCTGATCTCTCCGCTTCTTCTTTCGTCTCGATTCCAATCGTACGCAATAAAAACCGGCATGTCCGTGTGCGAAATAATTATTTTACAAAGCAGGCGATAAAAATATCGTTTCTACTTTTTACCGGAAAAAAATGTTTACGCGAAAAGATACAAAATCTTTTTTTACGCGCATCACGTGAAGAATATATTTTGACGCGACATTTAAACGAATGTAAGTTTTCTCAATTCTATGCAAAAAAAAACTCGAAGAATTTAAGAGCTGATACTCAAGTGATTTTAAAAGATTGGATAATACACTCGATGACTTTTTAGTTGCAACTTTTCAACTAATTTTTATGGCCATTGATGCAATAACCAAAATAAGAAAAAATATAATTTGTATCGAATACATATTCAATGAAAGGTAAAAAATTAATTTTATTAATTTCATTATTTAATATTGATATTAATTAAATTTATTAATTAATATCAATTAACATTACAATTTCTTTTCTAATATTACTATTGTTATTAAATTAATAACAATATTAATATATAATTACTTGTAACAGTAATTATGAAATAGCTGTGAAATTGAATATAGATCGATATTTATATTATTTGTCGTTTTTTACATGTAATATCAGCTCTAAATATAGTTTTTTGAATGAAAAGAATTTATATGACGAGATTGTGTTCTGCGTGCAAATTTCTGAATGCAATCGGACTTAATCGTATCAGAAAGCCAGATCGAACAAGTCTTAGTCAATGAAAAATGTAAATGTAAGACTTTGGCGACATAAAAAAATTTTAATTCAAGCACTCTTCTTCAAGATGAAGAAGCTAGTTTCGAAATGTTTTCTCACGTAAATATTATACTATTTGATTTGTCCATATATTCAAACTTTTCAAACATATTACTATAAAAAAATATAATTGACTTTTGTGCTCCACAAAAAAGAAAAATAACTTTTTAAATACTTGTGAATCCAAAGACTTCAAGACATAATTGTAAGAATTTTAGTGAAATTAATTCTTTGTAATATATTTCTTGCATCAATACAGTGTTCGATAGTTTTCTGAATGAAAACTATAACAATTGAGTCTTGTAAGAGAAATGCCTATCTCTATTTTCGAGGATCAAGTACTGTAATATTTCACGGAATCTTTTAATTTGTTTTAATTTGATATTCTATTTTTTTATAAAATATTGGGTATGTGAGTGAAAATAAGCCGTGAACGTAATAAAGATACTTATTTTGTTAGATGTACGATATTTTTTGACGTCGTGTACGATGTGAACATATTACGTGCTATTGTAAATTATTACGATAAAATCACAGAATTCGTCTGTAACGAAGCTTCCGGATTATGATGAATCGTGAAGTGACAAAGAAAAAGCAATTAGAGTGTAACGCAGCCGAGAAAAATTATGCTGCCTACTTTTCTTTTTCCATAACTGTATATAAGTATTATGGATTATGTATGTAATGTATATATGGCTAAAAAATAACAATGTACGACGGATTACTGGTTTTTAATAAATAAACCTGCGTTCTCTCAGACACGTACACATACACAACACACGCATATACATACACATGTATATGCGTGCAAACGCACATCTAACATATACACGTAAACCATATGCGAATGCTGCTTCTTCCTCACTTTATTTTATAAGAAATCAACACAAAGCTATTATCAATTTATATAGATACTTACAAATATATTATAAATATGCTTCATGTAAAATACATATTACTTCAAACATTGCGCATTTTCTTTAAACCTTAATTTTTTTACCAAATCTGGATTAGTTTCCAAATTATTTCCTTCATCTTTTATATAACTTTTAATCTGCAATATTAAAATAACATGTTGCTAAATATGTTTGTTTCTGTTAAATTAAATCTTTTTTACCTGTAAAAAATGAGAGAGAGAGAGAGAGAACATTAAAAAGATATCAACGGCCGAAATA